TGGAAAGGAATTATTCCTCCCCTATTAGGCGAGATTTGATTAATTAGGGATTTGATTTATCTGATTTAAATCAAATCCCTAATTAGGGTAGGAATCAAATCAATCCCCATTTTAATTAGGTAATTGCCAATTTAATTGGGTAACTCCCAATTAAATTGAGTAACTCCCAATTAGGTCAAATAATCCCCAAATGGAAGGAATTATTTGACCTAGGGTGATTTAATTCGGTTCCCACATGCATGATGGCTTTTTGTCCCTTGGGAGTATGAACACTAAGACATGAAACGCCTCTGTACTCACTTCATCTCCTCTAAACACTGATTGTTCAAGGTTAGTGAGAAGTGAAGGTTCAGAAACTTTTGAGTTTGGTTTTGGGAGAGTTGCTTTGAGTACGGCATTCACTTGTTGAATTGTGAGGTTGGCATTGCTTTTCTTCCCATTTTGCCCTTTTGATGGAGTAGATGATGACGTTGACCAAGATACCTTCTTGTAAATGACTAGCCGTTTGTTTGGGCTATCAGTTTCCAAAACTAATTGAAATGATCATACTGCCCCCTGAATTGGGGTGATTGATCATTCGAAGAACCCAAGAGTAGCACGTCATAAGTGACTCCATTGTGTGTTTCAATGAACCAGAATCTCCTTGGTCCCTTATTGAGGACTTGAAAATTTACGAAATGGAGTTTTGGGAAACTCTCATCTCATTATGCAGTTTTGGTGTTTGTGTTTCTGCTAATTTGCTCATGATGACAGGAAATGCAATAATATGCATGGTTCTTAATTAAATACTGACACTAGGCCTTGTAGTTCTTACGACATGGGATAACATAAACAAACAACGACGATTACTCTCAGATAAATACAAACAGTTAAGCATCTTATACTTGGGATTTTTCAGTAGGCGGAGGATGATAAGGAATGGGAATCAAGTGCAGATCGTCTTTTCTTTTGACTGCAGCACCAAAGGCCTCTGTCATGTCTAGGTCCTCATGCTTCATCCCCTTGGGGAGTTTCCAATCAAAATGGTATAACAACAATGCAAGTGGGAGCTCAACGTTGGCCAGACCAAATGACACGCCAGGGCACATTCTCCTTCCAGCACCAAATGGGATATATTCAAAGTTTGCTCCCTTGTAGTCAATCGAGCTATCGAGGAACCTATCGGGATTAAAGCTCTCAGGCTCATTCCAGTAATTGGGATCTCTACCAATTGCCCACGCATTCACAATTACCTTGGATTTCACAGGTATTTCATATCCGTCAATCTCACATTTCTCTCTGCATTCTCTTGGAAGTAACAGGGGAACCGGGGGGTGTAACCTCAGTGTCTCCTTGATAACTAAGTTTAAATATTTCATCTCTCTAATGCATGTTTCATCTACCTGTCCTTTTCTATTAAACACTTCCCTCACCTCAATCTGTGCCATGTTCATTACTCTTGGATTTTTTATCATTTCTGCTATTGCCCAATCTACAGCTGTAGATGACGTCTCACTCCCAGCACCAAAAATATCCTGAAAGTAATTAATTTATTAAATGATCAAAAACTAGTTTCCTCTATGAATTGCAAACAATTCTAAGTAATAGAAAAATATTATAAATAATCTTAAAAGAAGAAACCATTATTCATGTACCCAAGTAAGCTCATTCACAAGTTATAAATGTTGACTCTTAAGAGTGTCTTAAATATCAGGTAATGATTATGGAGAACAACAGACACATGTGAAACACTCTCATCAGTAAATTACTCATCATGAAAATGCTGCACATTGGACTTTCAATCAACAGTTTAAGATAATGTATGATTAGAATGCAGGAAGAATTTTAACCAGCTTTTTCATGTAGATAAATTGTTACATGGTTTCGAATAAAAGATATATAGACAGCACCATGTTGTCCCTTACAAAACATATTGTACTTGAAGAACTAGTTGTAGAAGCTTTGGACGGCTGAAGGGGATGTAAGGGATTAGCTCAATTTGCTTAACTAGATTATAGCTCAATTTTTCAGTGTCTGTAGAGGTAAGTCGATGAGAAAGACCAGCCATATTTTTTCTGACGTCCTTGCCAACATTGTTTGAATGTTTGGTGACTACACTACTTGTAGTGTGCCTACAACGCGGTTTGTGCTATGGTTACTCTTCTAAGGATGAATGTTGAAGGAAATAAATGGTACTTTTGTGGTCATCAAGAACCAGAAAATATTACCAGTATGCTGAGACTGATGGAGGGCCATGTGTACAGCTTGCGAAACTACTTCCAATGCCCAATCACTTAAAGATTCTAGCATATCAAGGAATAAGCCCAAGACAGATGCTAGGGAACCTGTCAGGTTTCAAGATGAGTATATTCAATAACTTGGGAACTCTACGTTTGTTGGGCTGGGACCTAGGTCTTGCTGTCAGTCATTAAATATGGTTTTAATCTTCTGTATGAGTTATCTCCTACAAGTATGTTGTATGGACAACTCTTGTAATCCAAGTTTGAATAAAAAAACCGTTGAGTTAGCTGTCAAAGCTTCTCTTTTAGCTTGTATCTTGTTATTCCAATCCCAATTCTCTGCAAATTCTAGTTGAACTGCATCAGAGACCCAAGATCCCTTCACCAAGGTTACTTGATGCGGTCGAGGCGATCGGAATATATGGTGAGGTGACACAACTATTGAGTCTCACAATGCCTGGTGAAGTTAAAAGTGAAGTGTCATCTCTACATTTCCAAAAGTTTGAGGCCTATTTAAGTTTGTGAGGTTGGGTTAAGTCCAAACCAGACAATATTTGACTACATGGATGCAGATCATTACATGTTGTACCAGAGACTAAACCATCCCAAGGTGTGTGGCTCCAAAAGGTTCGATACCAAAGCAGATAATAGTTGATTGATGACATAGATGAAGAAAAAAATTGATATAGTTTTTGGAGTAAAAAAATTGAAATTTGAAAAAGTGATTTGACTTATTTAAGCATGATATAAAGGAAAGTGTGTGTACTTACAAAGATAACTGCTTTGATGTTCTCAGTAGTTAGGGAAAACTCAAGCTCATTTCCATGCTCATGAAATTTAAGGAGAACATCTACCAGGTCTTCCTCTGCTTCACCCTCGCCACTTTTTGTAGTGACCATATCCCTTTGATGTTCTTTGATGATGCCTCCCATTATCCTGTCAGCTTCCTTATGCAGCCTCTCAAGTTTAGGCCTCATTCCACTTAAGAGATGCAGCAAACTGACAGAAGGAAAAACATCTGCAAGAGCGAAGCCAGATGCTGCCTTTGCAGCTTCCTTCATAATGTATATGAATTTTTCTTGATCCCTGGTCTTTTTACCAAAGGCTGCTCTCGAAGTGCTGGTAAATGTCGATGAGCAAATTTCCTGTGTAAGATTGATAGGTGATCCTGCTCTTGAGGCAATCGATTTAATGAGATTCCGTATCTCTTCTTCCCTAATAGGTCGGTAAGATCGAACACGTTTTGCACTTAAAAGCTCTAGAGTGCAAATTTTTCGTAGTTGTCTCCAGTATTCACCATATGGTGCAAAGGCAACGTTTGTAGAATCGTAAGACAAGATCCTTGAGGCAAGGACCTGGGGCCTGGATGCAAAGATAAGATCATGGGTTTTCATCACCTCTTTGGCAAACTCTGCTGATGAAACTACAATGGCGGAAACTTCTCCAAGCTTTAGGTGCATAAGCGGTCCGTATTTCTTGGCCAAGTCTCTTAGTCCATGATGTGGTAGAGAGCCAGCGAGTTGGTGTAGGTTTCCTATAACGGGTAGCTTCCATGGCCCTGGCGGTAGATTTGAGGCTGAGTACTTGGTTTTGCCTCTGATCTTCCCTATTTTCAGTACCATGATCATAAAGAGCAACAAGGCTAACAGGACTTGGAAGGAAGGGCACTGAATCTCCATGAGGAAAACAAAGGGTACTTTGGATTATAGTGGCTTTTGGTGAACCTTCATGCATTTGACATCTATGTATAAGAAATGATGGTTTGAATAAAAATAAAAATAAAAATCTGATTGGTATATCCTTTTCCAGCGGTACTTAATAATTAACAACCTCAATTAACAAAGGTGAGATCGTTTCACATTTTTTATTTTCATTATTTTCAATGGATAACTTGGAATCTCGAGGATATATAAATCTTTATTTTCAAAGGGCTCTGCCAAGTGTTTGATTAGTCCAAAATATAGTACATTGCCAGAGTATAACTTAATAACAGGGGAGTTAAGAATTTGAATTGAATCAATTATTTCTCTTACAGTAAAAGCGCAGGGGAAGTCAGACGTTTTAGTCATTTCCTATATGGGGTAGCTTCCATGGTCCTGGGGATAGGTTTGAAGCAGAGTACTTGGTTTTGCCTCTCTTCCCTATTTTATGGACCATGATTATAGGGTTTAGCAGAAGGCAAACATGACTTGGAAGGAAGGCCATTGAAGGTCCATGAGGAAAATACAGGAGAGTTGGATTATAGTGGCTTCCTAGTGCAATTGAATGCATTAATTTTTCATTTTTCATTTTTTTATTTCTAGTGGGCTTGGACTTTTTAGTAAACAGAACTGAAACGATGCACATGAAAAATAACATAAGTAATTATATTATAAAAGGAAATAGATACCAACCAAGTTTGCATCAGAAAAAGACATAGCTACATTCTATGTTATATATGCATAGATGTAAATGTTCTTTATCTTTTTGGTGCTGAAAATAAGGAACAGAGGCAAACATACATAAACTAAGAGACTTGACCAAGACATATGGACCCCTTATGCACCTGAGGCTTGGAGAAGTTTCAACCATAGTTATTTGATTTCATCAGCTGAGTATAACAAAGACATGATGAAAACTCATGATGTTACCTTTGCATCGTGGCCCCCTATAACCTTGCGTCAACAATCATGTCATATGATTCTTGTAGAGAATATATTTCCTTGTATTAAACAAATTACACAAAGTTCCTGTTTATACAAATATAGGAAGTTTACTTAAGGTAGAAAATAATATAGATATAAATATACAATCCGATTTACAGCAAGAAAGCTAATTGCTAGGAGATTCCTCTGTATATAATTATCATACGATTGTTCAATGAAAAGCATCGAGAATATTCAAAACCTTTCAACAACAACAACGACAACAATAATACTAACCAACTAATCAATCTGAAAAAAAAAAAAAAAAAGCTTGTGTGTGAGAGGAGAAAAAAAACGATCAAATAAAAAATAATGGGCAGGGTTTGGTGGGTTTTGAACACACCAATTTATACTGTCTTTGTTTAGCCATCATGCAACATGAGTGTTCTTGTTCTAGAAAGTTTTTCCAACTTCAACTCTCTTTGTTTAGCCAACATAGTATGTTCTCCACAACTCTAGAATCATCCTTGTATTCATGATTCTTCTAGAACTGTGTAGAACACAAATGGACATTATTTTTTCAACAACTTCAAAAGATGGAGATGGCAATGCAAGAATATTCTAGAACAAGCTAGCAGCGGCTAAATGCCTTGATTGAAGTTTGAAGAACATTCTAGTACAAGACACATATGTGGCTATAAGAAATGAAGAAGCCCAAGTCGGTGGCTGTGTATGTCGGCAATCAAAGCCTATAAATAGGCATGGTTGTACTCATTTAAGGTGGAGTCAACTAATACTAGAACTCCCAAACTATATGAGAGCTATAAGAAAGCTAACCAAAACTAGTTTAAGGGAGCACCTCTGATCGGGACACGAAGTTCCTCAGTCACTTATGGGTTACTTTGTGGAAGATGTTTGGAATCGCCCTTAATCGCAATAGTACCGCACATCCCCAAACTGATGGCCAGGCAGAAGTTACCAATAGAACTTTGGGTAACATGATCTGTAGCATCTGTGAAGACAAACCCAAATAGTGGGATAACGCATTGCCTCAAGTGGAGTTTGCTTATAGCAGCGTTGTTCACAGTGTCACAAGAAAATCACATTTCGCTTTGGTTTACACTTTGGTTCCTAACCATGTAATTGATTTAGTGAAGCTACCTAAGGCCCATGGTGTAAGTACCACAACTGAGCATATGGAAGAAAACGTCCAGGCCGTGAAGAATGAGGTCAAGGAGAGATTGGAGAAAACCAATGCTAAATACAAAGACGTTGCAAACAAACATAGGCGAGTCAAGGTGTTTAATGAAGGTGACTCCCTCATGGTCTATATGAAGAAGGAGAGATTTCCAGTGGGTACTTATTACAAGTTATAGCCCCGCAAATATGGTCCCTACAAGATTCTAAAGAAGATCAACGACAATGCTTATGTTGTGGACTTGCCCCCATCCATGGAGATTTCAAGCACTTTTAATGTTGTTGACCTGTATGCATTATATGAAGATGATCCACTCTATCTTGAACATAACTCGGGGTCGAGTTCTTCCAAAGTGTAAGGGACTGATGTAGAACACATGGCCGAGTTGATCGAGGGACAGCTAGACAGGCGTGCATGTCGTCGAGACAGGCGTGCATGTCGTCGCGACAACAAAACCCAATTTGTGCAAGTATGGGCCTCGAGCTCAGAATTGGGCCCATGAAGTCATCGTTTCGAAGAGAATGGCATGACAAGTGTATGGGCTATTTTAGCCAAATTCTATCGTTTACTTTGACTTTTCAGCGTTTAAAGTTTTTAGAATATTTTGGGAAACTTTTATTATTTTCCTTTTTGTTTTATAATTAGCTTTCCTAGCAAGTCTAGGGTTTCCCATTAGCTTTCCAAGCAAGTCTAGGGTTTCTCTTGTATAAAAGGAATGCGTTGGAGCATCCTGAATTATTCATCTTATTTTCAATCAATATATTTGAGGTTTACTTAATTTCTCTAGTGGATTATGGCGTGTTACTTATAGGGTTATCGTTCGATCTCTCCATATTCCTTTATCTCTGGCTGCGTCACAAAACAAGAACATACACAACAGACCAGTCACCCTCATCCTACCTGCTGACTTTTTTGATCGTTTTGGGTACCTATGGCTTCTGGTTTTTGTTTTGTTTTGTTTTGTTTTTTTTGTTTCTATATCGGAGAAGAGAAAAGCCAGTTCATTTGACCAAAAATAATTTGGAGCTCATAGCGTTACTGCTTGTAGACTTTCTGTTGGAGTGGAGCAGCATAATGATTTTGGTGGTTTGGTCAGGTCCATTGCTCTCTGTTGTCTGTTCTATGGACTATAATTTTTTGTATTTTGTTAAACATGTTGAAATATAAGTGCTTTAGCTGAAATTAACTTGTATTTAGTTTAAGTTTTTAGTTTTAAATGTGAGCCATTGGATTACATTCCAACTGGACAGCTAAGATGAAATCTTAGAGTAAGTGACAGCTTATGCCATATGTCACTATCTTATAGGGTAGATGAATGGATGGCTAGATTTGAATGATGTAATGAGGGAATATTCTATTCCTAACGGTTATATGTGCACAGAGTGTGCGTGGTAATGTAAGCAAGCATTTCATTTGCTTCTTCTTCAAGCTCTCTCTCTTACACTAAAATCTCTCTCTGAAATCTTCCACTTCCTTAAGTATTCTCCAGTTCCATTATTTGTAAATTGAAGTTTATATACAGATAACAGTCTGGATTCTAACAAAACATCAGGAAAGTGTTTTCAAATCCAGGACTAAAAAGTATATATGCAGGTCTTCAAATTTGCTCATGATTATAGTAGATGAATTGATATGGTTCTCAATTCTTTGATTGTTATAATGCGACTACAACGCATTGTAATCCTTCTAGCACGGGATAACACATAAACAAATAGACTTTACTTTGTTTTATTCGTGCGATTTTTCAGTAGGCGGAGGATGATAAGGAATGGGAATCAAGTGCAGATCTTCTTTCCTTCGGACTGGACTTTACTTTGTTTTATTCGTGCGATTTTTCAGTAGGCGGAGGATGATAAGGAATGGGAATCAAGTGCAGATCTTCTTTCCTTCGGACTGTAATACCAAAAGCCTCGGTCATGTCCAGATCTTCATGATTTTTTCCATTTGGGAGTTTCCAATCAAAATGGTATAACAAAAATGCAAGCGGGAGCTCAACGTTGGCCAGGCCATATGATATGCCAGGGCATATTCTCCTACCAGAACCAAATGGGATATACTCAAAGTTGGTTCCCGTGTAGTCAATGGAGCTATCAAGGAACCTCTCTGGATAAAATATCTCAGGTTCAGTCCAGTAATTGGGATCTCTACCAATTGCCCATCCATTGACAATGACCTTGGTTTTGACAGGTATTTCATATCCATTAATCTCACAACTTTCTCTGCATTCTCTTGGAAGTAAGAGGGGAGCAGGAGGATGTAACCTCAGGGTCTCTTTAATTACTGAGTTTAAATATTTCATCTCTCTAATGCATGTTTCATCTACCTGACCTTTTGTATTGAACACTTCCCTCACCTCATCCTGTGCTATTTTCATTATTCTGGGATTCTTTATCATTTCTGACATTGCCCAATCTACAGCTGTAGCTGATGTCTCACTCCCAGCACCAAAAATGTCCTGAAAATGATTAATTAGTAAAAATATTAAAGACTAATTTCATCTACAAACTGCAAACCATTCTAATTAAAGAAAAAATAAACTATATTTATCATCTTAATTAAATAAAAAAACCTTTGTTCTTAACCCAAGTAGACTTACAAGTTAATGTTATGATGTTGACTTTTAGGCTTTAAGAGATTCTTAAGTTTCATACAGATTGTCTGTTGACATGGACGAAAACAATACACACATGTGGAATGCTCACTTCAGTCAATCACACAACATTTTTGTTTTACAGATTTCTGATTGTTATGCTTATTAGGTGCCATACTTAGAGATGAGAAGACCAAATTAGCTGTCAAGTCAAGGAACTGTGCATTGTTTGGTGTTGAGAAAGGTGTTTCGGGATATGATTTTTGGGATCCCAAAACAGCGAAAGAGGTAAGTCTGCACAGATAGTATTTGTTAAGTGTGTTGAAACTTGGAAGTTGATGTTTTCTTACTTGAAAGATCTCATATACGTACGTACATATAGGAAGTTCGATTGCAGGTTTTGAATTAGCAGTGATCTCTTTATAATGTTCTCGTCGTGGATAATAATGAATTAAGGTTCCATGTTTAGAAAAAGAATGGAAATTTATTGTTTGACTAAGTATAGTTGAAAACTGGTTTGACTTATTAAAGCATGATATGAAAAGAAAGTGCATATACTTACCAAGATTACAGCTTTGATGTTGTCAGTAGTTAGGGAAAACTCAAAGCCATTGCCACGCTCGTGAAATTTTAGGAGAACATCTACCAGGTCTTCCTCTGCTTTACCTTCACCACTTTCTGATGTTGCTCTATCTTTTTTATGTTCTTTGATGATGTTTTCCATTATCCTGTCAGTTTCTTTATGTAGCCTCTCAAGTTTAGGCCTAATTCCACCTATCAGATTAAGCAGTTTGACAGAAGGAAAAACATCTGCAAGATCAAAGCCTGCTGCCACCTTTATAGATTCCTTCACAGCATATATGAATTTTTCATGATCTTTGTTTTTCTTACCAAAGGCTGCTCGGGAAGTGACTGTATATGTGGATGAGTAAATTTCCTCAGTGAGATTAATAGGTGATCCTTCTCTCAAAGCAATCCATTCCATGAGCTTCATTGCCTCTTCTTCCCTAATAGGCCGGAACCCTTGAACACGCTTTGGGCTTAAAAGCTCTAGTGTACAAATTTTTCGCAGTTGTCTCCAGTAATCACCATATGGTGCAAAGCCAATGTTTGTAGAACCATAAGACATGATCGTTGAAGCAAGGAGAGGGGGCCTTGATGCAAACATAACATCATGGGTTTTCATCACTTCTTTAGCATACTCCGCTGACGAAACAACTATGGTTAAAACTTCTCCCAGCCTTAGATGCATGAGAGGTCCATATCTGTTCGCCAAGTTTCGTAGTGCATGATGGGGTTGAGAGCCAACGAGCTGGTGTATGTTTCCTATAAAAGGTAGCTTCCATGGCCCCGGGGGTAGATTTATAGCGGAGTCTTTGGTTTTGCCTCTCTTCACTATTTTCAGTGCCATAATTATAAATAGAGAAAAAGTAAACAGGACCTGGAAAGAAGGCCATTGAAGCTCCATGAGGAAAGTAAAGGTGAGTTCAGATTATAGTAGGCATTTTACATCTATGTATAACACAGGATGTAGAGCCATGTCTTTTTCCTGATGGGAATATTCTCTCATCCTGGTCGGCATTTCTTTCCGGCAATCAATAATTAAGAGTTGCTTACCTAAGATTAATCAGTTTTTGTTTTTTTATATTTCTTTTTTTAATGGGTAACTTGGAAGTTTCTCTAAGCTATGAATCTATTTTCTTTTCTTAATGTTTGTTTATATTCTTAACATCAACTGTCATAAGTTATGATATTATTGCTTCATCAGTTGTATGGTAGTAATTGTCATACCTTGCTAACAACTCATCCAAAGCACTAGAAAATGGAAGAGTGTTGCTAAACGACAACTGTTTTATTACTCTAATAAAGAATTAGAAAATAACATAATATAATATAGAAATCAGCCGCTGGCAGCCGGCTAGCAAACTGTTGTGCACAAATACTCCAAGACTTTGTCCTTGATGACTATGCGACGACACACACACAAACTCCTTGAGAATAAATTACACACACAATGAAGAGAGTAAAGCAAACACACAAATATTTATAAAGGTTCGGCCTCGTGCCTACATCCTCTTAGTGATCCACTCGAGAAATTCACTAGTATGTAAGAACACTTTTGGTTACAATCAAGAACCCCCTTATGACAGGACCCACCCCAAATTCCTCGGAATTCGTGACGGATCCTATGGTTTTTTCCGACATCCAACCGATGTTGGACCCACTTATTAATTACCAACATCCTCTTCCCTTAAAATCAAGAAAAAGAGGGCCGAGATTTCTACCGAAATTTCAGCAAAGTCTCCCCTGAAAAACGGACTTAACCAAATTTTTCAACATGTAAAAATGCAGTTTAAAATCACCAAACTTCAGCATGCACAAAGTACGTTACATACAATAAACAAACAGGCCTTCGACCTCATAACCAAACATTTTCTAAAACATTCTTACTTTTGAACTCATTTGTAAAATCCGAACTCCCGTACCAAATATCGTAACGGATATCAGAAAAGACCTTTCTCCTTCCAAAATTCATTTCCACAATTAGAACAATGCAAGCACAGCTCAAACAGTTTATTTTGCGGCTGCACCTAGGTTGAACCCCAGGCTACCTACGTACCCCTTTGTGAGGGATCAAGCCACACGTAGTTCTTAAATCAACAATCACTATTCAGATAATATACGATTATTCAAAGTAATATCAACAATTAAATTTAGATTCATATACAACATCAAATTTGACAAGGCATACACTGACACTTTACAAGTTATTTTCCTTACAATAGTTCTTTCCCGCAACCATACCTTATCCAAGGCGTATGTTGCCGAACAACCCCTTTCAAACCATAAATCAAATGTTCATATCTGTGCAGAGTACTCATGAAGCACAAGTCCAAGAATCTCAACCCGAAAATGAATTGGCTCTAGGCTCTAGCAACTGTTTTATTACTCTAATAAAGAATTAGAAAATAACATAATATAATATAGAAATCAGCCGCTAGCAGCCGGCTAGCAAACTATTGTGCACAAATACTCCAAGACTTTGTCCTTGATGACTATGCAACGACACACACACAAACTCCTTGAGAATAAATCACACACACAATGAAGAGAGTAAAGCAAACACACAATAACACAAAGATTTATAAAGGTTCGGCCTTGTGCCTACGTCCTCTTAGTGATCCACTCGAGAAATTCACAAGTATGTAAGAACACTTTTGGTTACAATCAAGAACCCCCTTATGACAGGACCCACCCCAAATTCCTCGGAATTCGTGACGGATCCTATGGTTTTTTCCGACATCCAACCGATGTTGGACCCACTTATTAATTACCAACATCCTCTTCCCTTAAAATCAAGAAAAAGAGGGCCGAGATTTCTACCGAAATTTCAGCAAAGTCTCCCCTGAAAAACGGACTTAACCAAATTTTTCAACATGTAAAAATGCAGTTTAAAATCACCAAACTTCAGCATGCACAAAGTACGTTACATACAATAAACAAACAGGCCTTCGACCTCATAACCAAACATTTTCTAAAACATTCTTACTTTTGAACTCATTTGTAAAATCCGAACTCCCGTACCAAATATCGTAACGGATATCAGAAAAGACCTTTCTCCTTCCAAAATTCATTTCCACAATTAGAACAATGCAAGCACAGCTCAAACAGTTTATTTTGCGGCTGCACCTAGGTTGAACCCCAGGCTACCTACGTACCCCTTTGTGAGGGATCAAGCCACACGTAGTTCTTAAATCAACAATCACTATTCAGATAATATACGATTATTCAAAGTAATATCAACAATTAAATTTAGATTCATATACAACATCAAATTTGACAAGGCATACACTGACACTTTACAAGTTATTTTCCTTACAATAGTTCTTTCCCGCAACCATACCTTATCCAAGGCGTATGTTGCCGAACAACCCCTTTCAAACCATAAATCAAATGTTCATATCTGTGTATGTAGGTGCCGGGTGGTTGGTTTTTGGGAGAAAAGATAAGGTTTAGGTGTCGTATGGTTGGTTTAGTGTCGTATGGGAGAGGTGCTGCACATATGGGTAGGTGTTGGGGGAAGCGACCGGTCACAAGGGATGAGCGACCGGTCGTTTTGAAGCAGATTAGAAGAAGCTGGAAATCGAGATCAGCGACCGGTCGTAAGGTGCAAGCGACCGGTCGCCGCAGCTGTGTTGTTTTGGATTTTCGATTCTGTGCAAAAGCGACCGGTCGCCCAGTTCTGGCGACCGGTCGCACAGAACGTGCTGGTGCTGGGCTTTTCTTTCTCTCTGCTTACCCATTTAGTGGGCTCAAGAAAATGGGCTTGGATTTTGGGGCTCCCAAGCAGCCCAAAACCTGCATTCTCTTGAACCTTTAATGGGCCTCATGGATCCTTGTAACCATCCACACCACAACCCGCTCAGCAAGCCCCAGAGCATGTATGTGGCTTGGGCCCACTTAAGCTTGTTGTGTAATTTGACACTAAATAGGGGGTTGCTTGGCATCGCGTGTTATTGCATGCTTATGCTTGGGCTATGTTGTATTGCAGTGGCTTTGGGCTTTGCTGTATTGCAGTGGCTTGGGCTTGTGAAACCTTGTAATTCTTACAAGTTTGCATGTAAAAAGTGGTAAACTCGTACCACCACCCCCACGTGTCAAATTGTAGCCTTGCTTGGCATGGCATGGCATGCTGCTTTTATAACCTGATAATGCATTGGGCTTTAAAATATGCATGGGCTTTTCTTGAGATTTTTTCAGGCCTTAACATTAGCCCCCTTGATTATTGGGGCCATGAAGTGGCAGCGAGATGGGCCAAATAATCAATTTCAGCCCCAAAACAGAAAACCATAGTAGGTGACTACTTCTTTTCTTTCTGCAGTGTTTCGAAATAATATCTTACGCAAAGACTTTAAGGCTGGGGATGATTCAAATAACCCATGTGACTGTCATTTGATAGTATGCATGCGACAATAACGCATGCTGGGCAACAAATAAGAATTTGAAGTGATTGTTGTGAAGATTGGCTAACCCAAGAGATAAAGGAAAGATTGCATTTGATGAACAGATAGTGGGAATTTGCACAACCGAATTCAATTGGCAGACAGAAATTTGAAAATTGCAAAATGAAATGCAATTGACAAGCTGATAGTGGGGAATTGCAAAACATAATGCAATTGGCAAACAGACAGTTGGAAATTGCCAAAGCACGTGCAATTATCATGTGTGAGGGTTTTTCTTCGGTTTTGGCTTGTTTTTCCACATGTTTCCAGTTCCCATTCCAAATAGCTTTGTAACCCCAAAATCAATGAGTTTGCTTGGAAGCTTGTGAGTTATTTTAGGGGTTAGGAATTAGTTTGGGAAAAAGGGGAACTGAATTGTAACAGCTCTAGGAGTGACTAACAGCATGTTGTTATAGCTCTAAGTGCATGGCTTCCCATCCCAAAGACAGTAATGAAGATGGCTGGTGTGGCAGCATGGGATTGTTAGATGATTCACGCACCAAGAGTGATTAGAATAATTGTAGTGCAATGATGTAGTGGGTTGGTGCCAATAAGTAGGAGAGTGGGGTAGAAAAGGTCTTTGAGGAAATACGGACTCAATGGCTCTACAAGGAAATGCCCACTTAGAAAATTATTCATCTCCAAAGACAATAATTCACTTAAAAAGAAGGTGAGCATGTTGGTGGAGAATGAACAACTTTCTCATAAGTGGAGTGCCTTTTCATTTGTTTATTTAAAAGATAGCATATAGCTCTGCCCTTGTGATAAAGCATGAGTATATAATAATAGAAAGGCTTAAGAAGATGGGTAAGAGGCTTATCTCTTTCGGCAGTTTGCAAACTTTCCTTGGGTCTTCCCCAGAGCAATGCAGCAAGGTCCAAAGAATTGTCAGCAGTGCTTGCGGCGGATCCGGGTAGCATAAGACTGAGGTGTCACTCAGGACTGGCATATCCGAGCCCCCAGTATTTATTTTCTTTTATTCTTGCTTTCTATCGCAACCAAGAGAACGGAATGTGAGAGTTGGCAGGGGCTTGTTTCGTTAGCAAGAGCCTTGTTTGACATGTTGTGTAGAGTTTGTTGATATGGTACAGGCTTGACAGTTCTGCTCAATTAAGTAAGCTTGCTTAGCATGTTACTTGTTGTTGGCTTGGAAGCTTGGTAAAGAAAATAATTTCTTTTTCTTACGCACGGGGATTTTGCATGAGTTTATATGTGGATTGATCCACAAATGCTTGTATTGATGCATGGTGGGTTGAAGGAGAGATACGGGCTTGAGATAGCATAAGAGAGTGCGCATTGTCTCCATGACCGGCTTGGCTTTCAAGTGGGCAAAATTACGTTGCCCCTTCAGTTTGAAGTTCTTTTACTATTTGCAAGTGGGTGCTTTCTTTTCCTTTCATTTGGCACATGCTTTTATTTTCTGATTTTCTCTCCTTCTCCTTTTGCTTCTTTTTCTTCAAGAGCCAAACTCGTGGGTACTGTTCAGCAATCCAGAAGTCGCATTTAGGAAGCTCCGATCAGAAAACTTCCTTCATGAAAGTTGTTCATCCGCTTGGGAACTAAAGCCTGTGAAATTTTGAGAATTTTCTGAATTTTCCTGATGCCTCAAAACGGG